GCCGTTCCTCAAATACAGCAGGTATGCTCACCTGAAGGCCTCTGCTCTTGCTATTCACCTCTGCGGAGACCTGCACAGCTTCCTTCTTTCCTCCTTCAGGTCTTTGCTCAAAGGTCAGCTGCTCTGTGAAGTCTTCCCTGGTCACTTCAAAGTGAACCCCAACATCACCTATGTGTATGCTGTCTGATTTTTCTCCATTGCACTTATCACCATCCGATATACTCTATGTTTAATTATGTATTTATTGCATATAATGTAAGCTTTCTGAAAGACGGGTAGGTACATGGCACATAGTAGGCCCTCTGTAAATAACTGAATGAGAAAAATAAGTCCAACTGTTTTTTTTTTTTAATTCAACACTTACCAAAACTTGACTGCTTGTATTTTCAAAAGTTAGCTTCTGGCATGTGCTGTCCTCAGGAGGCTCTGCCTTTCCTAGTCAAATACAATCTCTTGCTTTTTGCCTGTTTTTCTTTTGAACTTTTTAGGATGGAAAATTTCAAACACATAGAAGTAAAGTGAACGCTATAACAAACTCATAAGTACCCGCCATCAGTTGAAATGATTATCAATACCACTTTGCCATTCCGGTTTCACCTAGCCCCCACCTTTTCTCCTCGAGTTCTCTGCTTTTTCCTAACCCCTGTTTCTAGGAGGCAGCCACTGCAACCTGGTGAATTAAAAGGAAAACTCCTGAGAGTGCTTGAGTCTCAGGCCTGCACACATCTCCTTGAGAGAAAAGTCTGGTGGCAAAAGTGAAAGTTAAGAACTAAGGGAACCCTGCCAGCAACGACAGGTCTCCAGGATCATTTCTGGTATGAAATCAATTTAGCTGCACTTGGCTATGGATTCCCGACTTTTAAAGACTTCATTAAGATCTTTAACTATAAAACCTCAAGGGTTTAGGTTCTCCTATTTGGACATCTGGGAAAATCGTAACATCACATTTTCCTTGAAGCTTGAAATATCATTATCTAATACACTGGGTTTAGTTCCAGAATTACTTATTTATTTTGGTAACACCTACTTCTTGCTCACCAATTTTATCATAAATCTTGAGTTTTTTAACCTCTGCATCTTGCCTCTTTCTGCACATTTTTCTACCTTTTGCTTGAAAAAAATGAATGACATTGTTGCCTATGTAGCTGAACTTCTAAAACTATACATTAGGAAACACACATAACTAAAATATATGTTAAAAGTGGAAATTACAAAAGACAAACTCCTAGAGATTGAGGACAGATGAATGGTTGCCAGGGGTTAGAAATGGGAGGGGACAGAGGTGGCCGTGGCTATAAAGGGCAGCACGGGAGAGCCATGTGAGAGGTGTTCTCCATCTTCTGTGGTCACACGAATCTACACCTGTGATAAAGCTGCAGGCACAAGTCGGTGCAGATAAAACTGGTGAGATATGAACGAGCTCTGTGGCCTGCACCGATGTCAATTTCCCACGTTTGATATTGTCCTATAGTTACGCAAGATATTATCAATGCGGGAAACTGGGGGAACGGTACACCGGTCGGCTCTGTACTATTTTTTACAACTTCCTGTGAATTTATAGTTAAGTTTTTAAAAATGAATGTTGGTAAATACCTAAAAACCTTTCCTCCTCAGAATTATTCATGCTGCAATAGAATAACACAGTTACCCGTCTCATAAAAACCAAACAATTTTGTAATTTTGAACGACAATTTTGTAAGTGTTAGTCATTTAAAAATACTATCCTTTAAAATGCCAGGAATCCTGTGGGCACACACAATACAATGAACATAAAATTATAAATCGCAAGATGACGAAGCTGTTCAGTGAACTGCCCGATGCATAACTTCCGAGATATTTCAGCATGATACACTCCCACAGAGATGCTAAACCGTTGAGGGACAACTCTTGATAGCACAGAGCTAGAGAGGTCAGCATGAAAAGTACAGAGGGGTCACACACTAACGTAGCAGGGCTTTGGATCTGGAAGCAGAAAGCCTCGCAAAGTATAGAAGGAGAGGGGATGCAGAAAGGAGACAACGGCAGAGCAAAATCAGTTCTCCAGCACAGTCTGTGGCATAATTAAACCTCTAAAAGTCCTCCCCGATCAGGGTTCCTTACCATGAGTTAGTTACCAATTTGGCATAAAGATCTAAGCACACAGGTTTTCTCCAAGGGCACACAGCTAGCTCATGGTGCCAATTCCACGCAACTGGCCCAATTTCACTAAAATCCCAAGGTGGCTACATGAAAAGAGAAAACAAGAGAGACAGAGAAAACGAGCCCCCTCTAAAATAAAAATCATAAAGCAGCAGGATGTCCCATTCAACAGAAGGACTTCTTCCCTGTTTCAAAAATAAAAACGCCACGAGAAACAAATGAAAATGCTACTTACTTTTTATTACTTTGTGGTTTTATTTTAATGCTTGAAAAACAAAGCCAATTCTGCAAACTACTGGCCACCCATTGTCATCTTCATGCAAAAGCTCAATGAAAAAAAATCTGGCTTCACAGATCAGTGCCACCTTAGGGGTTCTGTTTAAAATATTTTCTATTCTTATACGTGTGCTCTAAAAATGAGGTTAAAAAAAAACAACAAAAATCCAACTGGCCAAAGAGGGAAGAATTCTGGTGGACAATTGGACTACTGTGTTGCAAATTAAACTGTTCACACCTGCAGCATAATCTCACCAGCATAACCAATCTACCCTGAAATGCAGCCCCATTGTACCAAAAGGGGGATCTCTTTTTCCACTAGATCCTATCTTTCCCTGATAAACTCTTTGGATGAGAAAACCAGCAGCAGATGTGAAAGCCACATGGCCCTCAACAAAGCAAGGGAGCAAAAAGCAGTGTTAAAAGAAAAGATTCCTTAAACAGCAGCTCGCTATCAAGAATGAAGATTTTATCATCTAATGCTGACTTTGTGGAAAGCAGCTCGCTATTAGACCCTCGTCCAAGACTCTGGCTTAACAGCATCAGGCTGAAATCCAGGAGTTGGACTCACTTAGCTACACCCTTGTTTTCAACTCTTGGGAACGGGGCCAATGTGTAAAGTTAGAATATAACAAATACAATTTCCAAGGGGAAAGTAGAAGACAATGTAGGTACTCTTACTTAATGTAATCGATAGGCTCTGAGCATGGTTTACAATTCAGTACATTTTTATTTAGTGAATTTTAGCCTTTGAATAATTTTGTCCATCACTTCCCAAAGATTTCTGCATTGAAGATAACTTGCCAACACCTCCACTGAAGTTAATACTGTGGCAGTCAAGAACACTGAAAACTTTTTCAAACTCCTATTTAAGTAGAAAAATAATTTTGATGAAGCAAAAGGCTTCCTAAAGAAACAGTGTAAAGCCAGAAAGTCTCTAAATTGTCCTGTATTATGTGTGATTTCATTAAACTGCCATGGAGGCGGCAAGCTCTGGGGTCTAAACCTGGCTACAGTTTTCACCACTCTAAAATTTCCTTAATATTTTTAACTTCACATTCTTGGTGGCACTCCGGATTTTAGTGTATAGTTCTCCTACCACTCGATTTTACCGAACCCTTTCTCTTGAGGGTGTAGACACTTGTGTAAAACATATTATAGAATCCAGGAATGGGAAATGGTAACCACTAAACAAATTCATTATTTGGCAGTTATGGACAATGGATATTTCAGTGTCTTCTGGGTAACACAGCTGTCCATGAAAAGCTAAATGGTCAGCAATCATACATACATTTAACTTTTGAGAAATAATATACTCTTCGCCAATTACACTCTTCACCAAAAAGAAGGGAACAAGAGACTAATTTTAATGTCCTAAACCCTTGCCTCTCAAAGCATGGCCAAAGCCATGTTGGCATCACCAGGTTAGAAATGCAGACAATCGGGCCCCACCCCAGACCTCCTGAATCCAAATTTGCATTTTATCAAGATCCCCCGTGACTTGTGTGCACAATAAAGTTTGGCCAAGACAGTATCTCCCACCATTCCACTCCATGAACGTATGCCCCAGAGTAAGCATGAGATGGGTGACACTGACCTCCAGTTCCCTTGGTGGGTCTCAGGTCTCACGTGCCTCGCACCTTGTTGAGTGGGAGTCTGGTCTTTAAAGGGTAATTTGGACTATACGTCTAAAACATGACTTCACTGTTTTGTCCCCACATTGACCCTCAGCTCCCAACCTAACAACTGGCTTGATTAAACCAAGAGCTCGTATCTCACATCTTTGAATTAAAAAACAGTGAGGGGCCAGCCGAGTGGCGTGTTGGTTAGGAGTTGGCTTGAGACGCCAGCTCTGAGCAGCAGAGCCCCAGTTTGGATCCCACATGAGGGCCAGTGACGCTGCGCCCTCTACAGCTAAGATGGTGAACAACAGCTCGACCTGGAGCTGGGCTACCATGAGTTGCCGGCGACGGCGGAGGCTGTAGTGGGGCTGCAGTGGACTGCCGTAAAGCTACCGTGAGTAGCTAGCAGCCAGCGTGAGTGGCCGGCAGCCGGTGTGAGCTGCTGTGAGCTGCTGTGAGCTGCCGTCCAATGGTCAGCGACTGATCTGCCTCAGCCGGGAAGAGCGCAATGATCAGAATACCAACTGGGCCAGTGAAACGACGTCCTCCACTAGACTGAAGAACAAAACACAGCAACTTATCTGTTCCCCTTCCCCAATTCCCCAATAAAATATTTAAAACAAAAACAAAAACGGTGAGGACATTAACAGCTCAGGCTAGCTCAATAAAGGCCGAGCACAGAATTGTCAGCCTTGAGCACACAGCCACAGGTCAGCCATAACTCAGACCACAGGGAGAATGGAGCTCTGCAGCAGACGGTCACAGAAAGATAAACACCAAGTGGTGATGTGGAACATAATCCCTTAAATTCAGGGCTGCTTTCCTTCAAGTAAAGTTGCTACCCAAATTCATTAATCCTTTAGAATTGGTAATTCTGCTAAGTCAATTTCTGTTACGGAGGAGCTTCCCACACTTTAATTACACATGTCAGTCAATCCTGAACATCGGTTAATGACAGCTCACCTGTGCACACCTTCCCAGGTCTTTCCTGTCCAGATACTGAAATATATTGATTGCCAATTCATAAGGCAGCTGGATATCAAAGAAGGGCACATCATCCATTTCATTCTGAGGGGGAAAAAAGAAGGAAACAAGCTTACAAATCCGGGCTTTGAAAAAGCTCATATATACACTCTTTAAATTACCAGAGATATTCTCAGGCGGCGATGAGAGACATGATGGCGTTTCCCAGGAGGAGCAAAGCGCCCTCGGTCCTTGGCACAGCACCGTCCCAGGACTAATTCAGAACCTGGCAGCCATGCTCCATTCTCTGACCCCCACAAGCCCACCCTCACGTTCACTTATGAAATCCACAAGACCATTTCCCATTAGGCTTCAAAAAGGAGAAGTGGGGGGCGCCATGTTCCAGCCTGAGGCAGGCCACAGGTGTCTGTGTGTGAGGTGAGGAAAGCCTCTTGGCCCCTAAGGGAAGGTGAGCAGCGGGCAGCGAGAGAGTGAGCCCTGCAATCACGGAGGCCCCCAGTGCTCCCAGGACAACTGCTACCACCCCTCAACTTGGAGGGGAGCGAGTGCCCCCCAGCCGTAGCAGAAATGTTGACCTAGGTCACTACAGTGTTTTCATCAGGAAAAGGGGAATCGGGCCACGAACATGAGCAAAAAGTAAATAAATGAAGCGCTGCTCTTGAGTGAGGTGAACGCCATCTCCCCTTGGACGCTGGAGGAGCACACGGTTTCCTAATGCACTCAGGGGCTTACGCTGGTTAACCTGAGTGAGCCAGTGCAAACAAAGCAGTTCTTCTTCGGTGTCATTTGTTCCTGCAGAGAAATCAGAGCTCGCCTGCCTTTGGATAAGCAATTAGGGATGAGGTAACAGGCTTTATTTGAGAGATAAGGCTGTCATGACGATCCTGGTAGCACAAAGAAATATGAGTGTGAAACAGAAAAAAAAGCCAAGTGTGCATATGTACCGCTCTGCCTGCTCCGAAATCCACCTGCCAAAGCTCACTTTGGTGTGTGCTTCTGCAAAGCTAGGGAAAGCAGTGCTCTCCATCCCAACAGAGCCTGCTTAATACAATTCATCTTTAATAAGCTTTGGCTGAAATCAGTGACTTACTGGTTGCAAGCAAATTATTAATTCCCCACTCAAATACAACAGTCAAAAATTGCAAGGCTGAAGTCTCAAAACTGAAAACAGTCTCAGCATTTTTGAGGGAGTGTGAGCATCAATTTAAACCCTACCAAGATTCAGGGTAAAGATTTTTCCGGAATCATGTTCTCCATTGTCTAGGACTCTCAGCGCTAAGAGATAATCCGGGGCTTAAGGAGGAAATGTATTCAACTGCAAAAAACCAGTGCAAGGCTAAGTGCGAGGGCCTAAAAGGATCACTAGACGGAAGAGAGAATAAGAGTTGACAGTTCTCTGTGGGTAAAGAAGGACTAGAATGTTACATCGGGAGAGAAAAGTTGACTATTCAGGGGGGAAAACAACAGAAAAAAATCTGCAAGTGTTACCGAAAGACAAAGGGGTCCTTGCCTAAAAAAATAATGAAGAGTCATTGTTCTAATGTCAGGCTAGGTCCCCTCCTCCAACTAACTGGCTTCACTCATCAAGAAAAAGAGGCATCACTTTCTCGGCCCAGATATGACTTGAGACCCTCGACACAACCCTGAGGCGCATCCCCGCCAGTGGAGGAAAGCCGTGAGGCGAGGCATCATGGGAAGCCTTGGACTACTGCTTTCCGTTTGGGGTTACTGGCTGTGGCGAGCAGAAGTCTACCTTACCTACACCTGAAACAAGCGCAAGTGCTTCCTTATCTTCGTACAAGCAGATTAAGGGCAAAGAAAAGCCTGCGCTCGTGCAAACCGCATTCATATTTAGCTGTTCACTGTTACAGAGACGTGCCAAGCAAGCACTGTTGTCTTCAATCAGTCCCTTCAGGACTAACTAGAAACCGTGGACTTGACAGAACTGTGAAGAAACAGGAGAAAACCCCTTTGTTCTTAAGTTATTCCTGGGCGGAAAAGGCACACTTGTGGTGGCAATTCTCTCTTCTCATCCCCGAAGACAATGGCCCTCCCTTAGCAAACCCCACCCCTGCCACCACCCTCCTTGGGCCCAGCCTCCGTGAGTCCTGGCTCGCAGCACAGCATGGACGATTAGAGCCAAGATTCTAACTGACAGTCCTGGATCTGCCACGAGACCAGGCCAAATGCAGCTAAGCCTCAGCTTCCTCATCTGCAAAACAGATAAATGCCCCATGAATAGGTATGTTACTAAGAAAAAAATGAAATAATGTTACATGGAAAGGGCTTGGCCCAAGCTCCGGGCTAAGCACGCACTAACTGGTTGTTAATATTGCTATTTTCTTTCCCTGAGTGCCACTCCTGCTTCTTTTTCCTTCCACACATATTTGTTGATTAGGTCCACATCCCGTTACTCCCATTCTATCTTGTTGTTTACACAGAAAGCTGTCTCCCCTTGTTATACTATAAGCAGCCGACAGCTGGTGACAGTGGCAAGGGGATGGCATAGGAGAAGCTAAGTTATTCAGGAGTCTGAACATTAGATATATCATGCAACAGGTCTTTTTTGAGGAGATTTTTAAAAAAGAATCATCCATTTTAAAAGGTTCTACTACAGTAATACCCAAAGAAGGGTTTCCTCTAGTGCATAGTGAATGGAAAGGATGCAGCCACCAGGGTGCAAATGACCAGCCAGGATGTTATGGCTCCCGCACCAACAAATGATCAGAGACACCATGCAATGCACCAGTTGTGATGGTTCTTGGTTATTTCTAAGTTCTGGAGGGCAACGACTGCTTCAAAGCATTGAATTAAAATTGGTAAATACCAGAGCCGGCCTAGTGGCTCAGTTGGTTAAGAAGCTCCCTCAAGAGTGCAAGCTCTGAACAATAGGGTCACCGGTTCAATTCCCAGCCCGAGCTGAGCTGCCACTAAGCTGCCAACAGGTGGCAGGATGGCTCAGCTAAAACAAATTTAAAATAAAATAAAATAATAAAATTGGTAAATACCAACATTACAAAGCCATACTTTTTAAAAAAATCACTGTGCTCTTAGAATTACATATAAACTCCAAAATTATGGTCAATCCAGAACAGATCAAGTCCCAGACTTTCATATAACCAACCTTCCCTGTTGCTACCACTGGTTGGAGAATGGCAGGGGAAAAAGGGAACCAAAATACTAAACGAATGTCCACATCTTAAGAAATAAGGAGACCCACAAGGTTGGGATCCAAATGCTGAAGTTTTATGTTTCCCACTTGGAATCCTTTTGGCAAGACAGTCTATCAATGGCTCTTGTGGTGGAGGCTACAGTGGGTCACTGAGGTTCCCCCTCTGGGTCCAAGACACTTATTCCCCCAGGTGCCCAGAACGCAGCCTGCGGCTGGCTCACAGCTGACTTCCTTCTGAGGCACTGCCCTTGGCCAAACAAGCTGCCGCGGCCAAGGTTACATCCCTCCTGGAGGGCAGTGTGCATCCAATGACTAGTCGAGGCCTGGCCCCTTGCCTCAGTTCAGGACCTCTCAGAAAGGGCAACCCACTAAGCCACGTGCATGCAAATCTCCATCTGAGAGCCTGTTTCATGAAAAATCCAACCTGTTCCCCAAGGCAATAGATGTGATCCATGATAGTTCTGAGTTCAACACATTCTCAAGGGTTCTTATGCACAACTCTGGAGACAGCAGGTAACCTACTTCCCTCTCCTCTACTCAAGGAGACATAATGGAATACCAGTAAATTAGAGTGACATTATTATACCAAAAAACAAACAAAAAATCTAGAGTGCTTCAAGGTTAAGTAAATCATTCATAAACTTCACCTTGCTATTATTAGTAATGTATCACTTGGGAAACACCTTACTGAAGTATTGAGAGTACTGACCCTGTGATTAAAAAAGCAACTCTTTTACAGGTATGCTTGATTTGACGAGAATATGGAGCCACATCTTAGAAGGAGATTGTAGCTTTATAACCATGCGCACCCTAATAGCAGCAGCATAATGTCTTAAGCATTCTCATTTGGTATTTCCCACAGTTCATTAATAGAAGTAAAAAGTACTCTTTGTTATGAGTGTGCAGAGAAATACCTTATAATCTAAAAGGTACTATCAGATTTCCACCTAGGCTGTTTTGAAGCACAGAGTCATCTAAAAAGTTATGGGCCACATTAACCAAGTCTGTAGCTTACTGACTTAAAAACATGAGAATGAACAAGTTAGCATTTCACAAACGAAGACATTCCAAGGAAGAGATTAAAGACACTGGAAATGTTAATACAGTGAAACTTGGTCACACTACAAAAATGCCAATATGACTAAAATGTTTAGAGAATAATTTCACATTAATGTAATAGCCCAAGTGGGCCGGCCGAGTGGCTCAGTTGGTTAAGAGCTTGCTCAAGAGTGCAAGCACTGAGCAACAGGGTCGCCGGTTCGATTCCCAGCCCAAGCTGAGCTGCCAACAGGTGGCAGGATGGCTCAGCTTAAAAAAAGAAAATAATAATAATAATGTAACAGCCCAAGCAATGTAAGAATGGCCAAATTTATGCTACAGAAGACCAACAAATTCAAAATATTAAAGTTCATTCAAATTTAAGGAAAAGCATGTTTTTTATTACAACCTGGCTTTTTAAATTAATGGCTCAGATATTTATTCTCTACCACTACTGATGACTCTTGTCCTATACTACATATCAAAACTGTCTGTG